CCGGCCCAGGTCATCCCGGCCGGGGAAGCTGCTGATGGCCGGGGCGGGGTGGGAGGTGACCAGGACACATCTGCGAAAGCGGGAGAGGGGTCCCGCCCTGCTCCCTGCTGCAGACACACCGGTGAGGGCAGTGGAGGCGAGGAGTCTGAAGGTGCGTGGCAGGTTTTCTGGAGAAGCACGGTAACGAGGGACGGACGGGAAGGGCCCCACCTGTACGCGAGGGCCTCGGGCTCGGCGGCTTCACATCGCCAAGAAACGACCGTTTGCCTGTGCCGGGCGGTTGCAACGTGCAAAGGATCTCCGCCTGTTATTTCACTTAATTACCACGACTATGCAGTTATTACATCCATTTTACGGAGGGGGAGCTACCGGGAAAGGTTTATTGAGCATTTACTACCTGATCTCATTAGTCCTGGCAATACCCTCCTGATCTTCGGCGCTGTCTTATCCCCGCCGTCCGGGTTAGGGACGGGCGCCCACGGTTGCCCAGTGAGGGTGGCGGCAGGGCTGGGAAGGGGCCTGGCAGTCCCTGCTTCCACAGCGTCCCCCACTGCAGTGTGGGGGTGGGGGTCAGGGTAGGGGGTGGCCTGGGACCCAGGTGCGTTTTCCGCCTCAACAACCAGCGCCAGATTTTGGCCCCAAGGAGTGACAGTCTGGGAGCCCCTCTTCTGCGTCAGGGGGGTCTAGGGGCCACGGGCTCTGCTCCTTCGTCCTGGCTTCGCTCCCCAGCCCCTCCGCCTTTTCTCCCAGCCTCCCCACCCCGGCCGGTGCCGCTGGGAGCAGCTGGGCTCTCAGGGGCGGCCGGCCTTCCAGGGGAGCCTGCAGGAGGAGGCTGGTCTGAGTGCGAGGGGAAGGCCGCCCTCCTGGGGTGTGGGTGTTCCCTCTCTGACCCCTGTCTCCTCCCCAGCAGGCAGGGGAGGTGTGGGGTCTGGCTCAGACCCCCGGGCGGCTCCTCCACCGCCGTCAGTGCCGTGGCTGCTAAATCCTGGGGTGCACTGCGGGGTTCAGGGGAGCCTCTGGCCCCAGCCCAGTGGGGAAGGAGAGGGTGAGAGCAACGGTCAGTGGGCTGGTGTCTCAGGCACTCCCTGGGGCCTGTCCTGGTGGATTTTTGTGGGAAGATAGGAGGGGTGGTGACCAAACTGAGAGGCCCACGCTCTGGGGGAGAGTGCTTTGGGACCCCTGAGAAGCTTATCAGTCTTGCCCTTACCCCCTTTAACTGGACCCCCACCACACACACACACACACACACACACACACACACACACTGGCCGGACCCTGGGGCAGAGCAGCAGAAGGGAAGAACAGAACGGAAGGACGGAAGGCCCGGGGGAGTGGGGCCGGCAGGGCTGCGCTGGGCTGGCCTGGGCGCTGGTCAGCAGCACACAGGTGGGCCCTGGTGGAGCGCGGCAGGGGTGACAGCAGGCCAGGTGATGACCGCCGTCTCGGGCCTCCCTCTGAGTCCTGGGCACTTCGGTGGACCCCTCCCCCGGCCCAGCTCCGGCCCCTCTGAGCGTCGGGGATGGGGCTCTGGAAGGGCTCGGAGACAGGAAGAAGACTTCCCGAGGGCTCGGGCTCCTCAGAAACGGCTCAGCTGTTGGGGTTCGGTGCCCTCCTCCGCATGCCCCCGTTTGTGGGGAGGCCGGGTGGTACCCCAGGAGCCGGGTCCGGGACCCACCCCCGTGTTCTCGCTGGCAGACGGCGGGAGGTGGCACAAAGAATCTCCAAGGTGTCTGCCCAGGGGACTCCGTCTCCTTTCCCCTTGGTGGCCCCTGGGTGCGTGCGTGGTGCCCCCCGAGGCCTGGTGGGCCCTGGGCTTGCACAGGGTGGAGGGCGGCCCTCTCTGGGGCAGGCTGTGGCCCTGGGACACCTCTGCCTGCCCGTGTGCCTGTGTGGGCGCCCCCACGGGCGGTCTGCGTCTCTGAACGTCTGATGGCTCTGGGGGGTCTGCAATCCCCCCTTAGCTTCCCCGCCGCCCCCCAGGAGCTGCCCAAACGGCTGCCCTTTCCTCGGGAACCCTCCTCCAACTCCTCGAGAGTGCGTCTTGCTCTCGTTCCCCTGAAATCCGTTTCTTCGTGGAATCAGGGCACATCAGCACGGAGCCAGGGAGGCCCCGGGTTTGGGGGAGGCAGGCGGGAGAGAGTGTGGAGGGGCACGAGGGGTCGGGGACCCGGGGGCCAGGTGTGCACCTCGGCTGCCCTTTCCGGAGCCAAGGTTCGCCCCATCCGCGAGTGGTAACACTGCCCTGCTCTGTCCTAGATTTGGCGGCTTCCCCCGGCTGAGGTCGGGGGCCCCCCCAGCCGCTGGCGCCCCCAGGGACCCGCACGTGCGGGAAGTGGGCACAGATCAGTAGCTGCCGCCTGTTACCAGCCTGTGGGGCTCGGGGACACTTTCTCTATAGGAACGGTGTGAGCACCAGCGTGCGTGTGGGAGAAGAGCGGTATGAGTGTGTAGGGGGTCCCTCCTGGGCCTGGGGTGCCTGAACGGCCCCCTGAACCCCAGACACACGGCCCCTCCGCCCCAGGTCTCGGGGTTCAGGGTGGGGGCCCTGCCTCCTGTCGCTTCTCCCCTGCCCTGCACAGAAACTCAGCAGGAACAGTGTCCTAGGGGACTCTGCTTCTCCACTCACCTGGGCCCCACCTGGGGGCGCCCTGCGGGCCCGCCCCCTGGGGGCGGGAAGGGGCTGCGGGGAAAACGGACCGCGCAGCCTCTGCTCCTTCTGACCTCTATTTTCTTGCCCTTTGCTCTGCTCTCCCATGAGGCTCTGAATTCTTTCAAGGGGTTGAGTGGGTCGAGGGCTCCGCTCTTCTCTGTCCTCCCCATGGGCTGAGCCTCAGTTCTCCCTTCTCTCAAATGGGGAGCCCCCACGGAAGCCCCCCTCAAGGGCCGGTGGAACGTGTGTGCACAGCAGCTCGGCTGGGAGGCGGGGGCCGCGGGCGAGGGGGGCACGGCTGGCGGAGCCTGGAGTTCTGAGGCCAGGGAGAGGAGGGGGACCAGGCGCCCTCCTTCTGCATCCGCTCCCTAGTTCCCGATGAGCCCCGAGCCCAGGGGCAGGGGGCACTCAGTCAGAGCTTTGCCCACCCAAGGCGCCCCGCGCTGCCGGTACCCGCCCGCCCGACCCCAGTCGCATCTGGGGAGGTGGCGCCGGAGCTCGGACCGGGCCGAGCCCGCCCCTGCCCGGAGCCGCTGCCGGTTTCCCTCCTCCGGGCCCGGCGGAGCTGGGGCGACACCTACCTCACCAGGATGGCCACCCCCACGTCCTCGCAGTTGGCATAGAGCCGGGCCCACGTAGCCTGCACCGCCTTCCTCTCCGCCTCGGACAGCTCCTCGCTCCGCTCCCTGCGCTCAATCTCCATCTCGCCCGGCACTTTCTCCATAGGCAGCACCAAGCTCAGCCCGGCTTCGGCGGCGGCGGCGGCGGGGCGCGGGGCGCGGGGAGCCGGGGCCGGCTGCGTGCGCGGCGGGCGGGCGAGGGGTAGAGCGCGCCGGAGGAGGGAGCGTGTCTGTGCGCGCCGCGTGTGTGTGTGTGTGTGTGTGTGTGTGTGTCTGCGCGCAGGGTATATGTGCGGGGGGCGGGGGACCGCGAGCGGGGGCGGGGATGTGGTCTGATAGAAAAATGTGGAAAAAAAAAAAACCAAAACAAATTCGCTCCAAACCCCCAACCCCGCGTGTCTGAGCCCATTTTTGCAAGGTGAGGGCTGGACAGGGTGGGGGCGACGGGCGGGCACTCGCCCGCCCTCCCGCAGGGACCCCACGGAGTTTGACCGCGGGGCGGGGCTGAGACGTGGGTGTGGCGGCCGGGCTGGGGGGTCCCGGGAAGAGGGGCGGTCACGCGGCGCGGGGCGGGGCGAGGCGCGCGCTCCGGAGTGCGCCCCGCCGGGTGCGGGGCAGGGGGCCCCGCGGCCCCGCTCACGCTGCGGTCGGTGTCCCGACGCGTGCGTGTGTGCACCCTTCACGCTGCGGGGAACTGCCTCAAAGTCACAGACTTCCAGGCGTTTGCGGTGTGGTCGCCCGCCCAAGGGGAGGACGCGAGCCTCTCTCGCAGCGCCTCGGTCGGATCTGCGCTCCCGCGGACTCCTGGCCTCTCCCGAGCGGGCGGCTGGGGCCGGTGGCGCCGCTCGGAGTTCCGGACGCGGGGCACTGGACGGTCAGGGCTGGGTCGTCTCCCTGCCCCGGTGCCTGATGAGGGGATAGGAGACCGCTGTCAAACTTGAGCGCCAGACGCCAGCGCCCCCTTTACTTCCGTCCAGCGCCCCCTGCCCCTCTGTAAACACCCATGTCCTCGGAAATAGAGGTCCCTGGTGGCTGATGAACGACACAGTCGGCCAACAACCAGGCACTGCCCCGAATTCGGGCCCTGGCGGGGCAAAGTCCGGAGGACAGGCAGCCGGGCTGGATGACGCAGACCTGGGAGGGTCAGGAGGTCTTGGGGAGGCCCGGACTGCTGGAGGCATCTCAGCCACCGAGGCCCCTGTTATAGAGGGGCTCTGGGGTGCTGGTGGCCCTGCTCAGGGAGATGTGAGTGCTGTCGGCCCAGAGGCGGGGACTGGGCCTGTGAGAGCCGCAGGGTTCCCACCCTGCCAGCTGCCCACTCAGTCCCGGCACAGCCAGGTCCCCCCTCTGACTCCCAGCGGAAGCCCGACGCCAGACCCGGCCGCAGCGGCGGCTCCTCGGGACCACGTGACCGCTCATTCCGGGTGTGTCCCGTTCCCCAAGGCTCCCTGGTGACCCTGCCCTTCTCCAGACACTGTGACCCGCTGCTCAAGGATTGCAAGAGGTCGCCTCTCCTCGTCAGCTCTGGCTTATGCGTCTATTTCAAAATTCACATTTCAAAGGAGCGGGCCCCAAGTGCCGCCCCGGCTCTGACCATGCCCTTGGCCCTTGAGGTTCAGGGCGTTCCTGGAATCCTGGGCCGGTGGCCCGCGGACATGCCTCATCTCCCCGGCGGCGGCGGGAAGGGAAATCTACCCTTCCTGCCGGGGTCTTGGAGAGAGGGGGTTTCGGTGTCTTAGACCCTCTGAGACCCACGTCCTCACTCGGGTCCCCGCTGCCTTGCCTCCTGCCTCACACCCGCCTGGGCCGAGGCAGAGCCCAGCCCGCCACACTGGGCTGCCTCCCAGAGCCAGCGTGGTGGCCCCGGCCCTGTCACGGGGACGTGGAAAGAAAGTAGAGGAAATCTTGTTTGGGTTTATTTCCATCTCATCCTTCACACGTTTTCCACGTGCCCGTGGGGCAGGACCGTGTTGGGTGGCAGGGGACAGAATTTTTACGTGGACGAGTAGATCTGTGTCTCCGGTGCGGAGGGGACACAGGTGGTGTCTGGGGAGGGCAGTCCAGAGGGTGGGACGGAACCGCTCGGCCAGCCCCTACTCCTTGTCCTTCCAGCTTCATCCCCGCTGCTCCTCTGCTACCCTTCCTCGAGCACCTGCAAGTCCCCATGTCCCCAGCTCCTCTCTGAAGCTTCCCCAGACACTTCCAACTCCCCACGTGCCCTGTGGGTGCCTGTAATCGCCCGTGTCACTCGGCTGTGGCCACTGTTTAACCTTCCAGCGCCTCCGTCCGGGCTATCCGCCTCCGGAGGGCCAGGCCCGGGTCTCGGTCTGTCTACGTCCAGAGTAGACTGAGGTCAGCTGACCCTGCCCTGGGGGGACACCCCGGGCCCAGGGAGGTTCGCCGGGCTCCACAAGGTCAGGTCTGCTGATCCCAGTAATCAGCTTGAGGCTTCTAATCCCTCACCGGCAGGAACCTCGGGACGCAGGGCAGAGGCTCGGGAGGGCCGGCAGGGGCCATCTTGGCCTTCTCCCGCAGGCTCCGTCCGGGAGGGGATGGGGCGGTCGAGCCATGTGTACCACCCTCCTCCTGCTCAGCACCTTGGCGGCGCTCTGGCGCCGGCGATTCGCCAACCGGGTCCAACCGTGAGAAACCGCCTGGGCCACCAGTGGGGCGGGGGGAGGGGGCAGCTGCGTGGCTGAGCTGCAGGTGGGCAGGGGCTGCCTGGATCCCCAGCGGGGCTGGGAGGGTTTGCAAGGACCCCCCTCAGAGTAGGGCACCTGGAGCTGCTCAGAGACATTGGCCGCCGCCTCCAGACCCACAGCCCATAGAGGTGGGGCCCGGGAGGAGCAGAAGGGGGGTCTGGGGTCTGGCCCACAGCTCTTCCTGCCCGCCCTTCCCTCCCACAGAGAGCCCAGCGAAGTTGGAGTCGGTGGGGCGGTGGAGGGCAGCAGCGTGGACACAGACCCCCAGTCCTCCGGCAGGTAAGGCAGAGGAGAGTCTGGGCGGAGGAGGGAGGGTGCTGCCCAGGCGGCTGCCGCTGTCCCCTGTCCCTGTCTGCGCCAGGGGACGTTCACGGATGTGCCGGCGCCTGCCCTGTCTGATGGCCCCTGGCCCCCCTGTTCGCCTGGCGGGCAGGCTCAGTGTCTGTGTGGTCCAGTCGGGAGCGGGAGCCCCCCAGCCTCCCCCCCCCCCCCCCCGGACCAGAGCTGCTGCCCGAGAGGCTGGCCCCCAGGGCCCTCCTGCAGCAGGCTCAGCGGGATTGGAGAGGGGATGAGGCAGAAGCAGCTCCTCCGGCTGTGCCTGCCTCCCCTTCCCCTCCCTCTCCGGCTGCGTCCGCCCAGCTTCAGCGGCTCCGCTGCCCGGGCCTCCAGCAGGATTCGCTGTCCAGTCCCCAATAGAAGGCGCAGGAGGAGCATGACGTCATCGGCGCTGGGCGCCATTGGCTGGGCAGCCCCCTCGGGCAGGCCGCTGTCTCCAGTGGCCGGAAAGTTAACTCTTCCCTAGGCAGAGGCCGTGTGGCCCTGGCCGGGGGTGAAGTTCGGGGCACTTCCGGACTTTCCTTCCCCGGGGGACCAGTGTCCTTGGATGGGAGGGGCTCTCAGGTCCATCAAGACACAGAAAAATCAACAGATGTCGATTCGGAACATGCTGTTTGAGAGGTTCCTCTGCGCCTGGGGCCCACCTAGTGAGGGAGGCCTGTCCGAAGAGGGACATTCTCTCTCCTGCAGCAGCATCTGCTGGGCCCTGGCACTGCCTGTGCCCCTCTCTCCCAGTGAAGCAGAGGGCATGGTGCCCGTGGGCTCCCGGGCCCCTGGGAGAAGGGTGTTCCCCCACGGGGCTCAGGCGGCCGAGGCAGACAGCAGGCGTGCGCCCCAGCGCACCCCTATGTCTCTGTGGGCTCCCCGTGGCGGCAGTGGGGCCCGGCAAGCCGAGAGGACCTGGGTGTTTATGTCTGGCCCTGTCTCCCAGTGCCGATGTCAGAAGGCCCACTGCAAGGTGCGAGGCGTGTGTGGACAAGAGAGGCACTTCTGTGACACCCTCCTGGACACCGAGGCCAGCGGAGATGGCCGCAGCCGTGCTGGATTAGCGCGGTGGCTGGGTCGGGCCGCCGTGTATAGAGTGGCCGTCACCGGGCCTCGCACATGGAGGCCCTCCAATGCTGACCGGTCCTCGCCGCACAGTCCGGTCTGGCGTCGGGCAGAGTTGGAACGCCAGCTCCTCTGCCACTGCCCGCGAGCCTGGGCAGACTGCGCAGTCTCTGCCTTCCTACGTAAACCCGCGGCAAGGCCCGAGGCGGCAGCAGCGAGGCTGCTGTGCGGCTGACACCAGCGGCTGACACCGAGCTGCTGTTGGAGAGCCCGCCGCATGGGGGCGCTGCTCCGAGAACTCCGCCTACCTCTGGTCCCTGTCGGAACCTCACGCCGGACCGGGCTCTGCTCTCCCCCTTGCAGGGGTTGCCCGTCAGGGCCTCCATCTCCGCAGCAGCGGCCGAGGGCTGGCAGGACAAGGGCCCTGTCTGGTGAAGGGTGGAGGGGATGAGAGACAGGGGCACCCAAGTCACTTGCTCAAGGTCATCCACCGGATCTGTGGCTGACGTGGGGCTGACGGGCCCCTCCCATCAGGCGGTCTCTCTCCTCTGTGACATGGGCCTGGGCCTCCTGTTGGGAGAGGAAAGGCCCACCTGGAGCCCTCCGGCCAGGCCTGGCCTCGTGCGACCTGGCCACAAGGAAGACTTGGGGACCCAGATGACTGGAAAAGTGGTTCCGACATCCAATCCCTCCTGCTCCCGCTGATGGTGGCCGCCGTGGAGGGCTGCTGGCCGCGGGTGGGAGGAGGGGTGAACTTTCTGCCCTCCGATTCCAGTCGTCAGTTCCGGCTGGTTCCTAGGGTGTCCTGCCCCTGAACGTGGGGTGGGGCCAACCCCAGACTCTCCCCACACACTGCTAGTCCGGTCCGCCCTCCCTCCACCCCGGGACCCGGGGGTGAGACCAGGCGCACTGCCTCCTTGGAGCGGGCTGATGCCCGGTGCTCACCGGTGACGCGGCGCCATGGTGCGGGCGGCAAGGACCCTGTTGTCGCTGCAACACACTCGCTCATCCGGGAGCACATGTCGGATGTCACGAGACTGATCTCACCTGAAAACTGCGACTGAGGAGCACAGAGACACGCAGCCGAGCCTGCTGGGAGTCTTCCTCGGCGCTCTCTCAGGGAGCAGCCCCTGCCTCCCTGCCATCCTCCGACTCCGGTGCTTCTCTCTGTGCAGGAGGACAGCGCCGCTGGAGGAAGCCCTTACCTCTGCGGGCAGAGCTCAGCCTGGGGAACTGGGGTCGGCCGGCTGAGGCAGGTAGGCTGGTGCACGCCCTGGAGGGCCGGGGGCCGGGCCGGGGGCCGGGCCGGGGCTGAGGAAGGAACGGGGTACAGGCCTGGCCACATGAGAGCAGAACAGGCCACGGTAGCCTTGTGGCCATCGCCGGGGCGGAGGGCAGGCGGTGGACTCCCTGTACCAGCTCCCCCCGGAACCCGTCTGTCCCCTGCCAGGTGGCGAGGGTCAGCGTTGATTGAGAGCGCCACGTGGGATCTCGACAGCGTTTTCTAGGCTCGGGGACAAGGCAGTGCTGGGGCACTTACTTCTAAGGAGAGGGCACTCTGGCATGTCCACTCGGCAGTGCAAGCCCCCCTCCCCAGTGTGGGACAAAGTGCTGTCCAGTTTGGTGTTCCATGTCAGCTCAGCTCCTGGTTTGCCCCGGACCAGGCCTGGTGTGGGGTGGGGGTGGGGGTGCAGAGAGGCTCGCTGCTCCGGGACGGGCTCCCTTCCTGGGGTCCCCTCTGTGAGCTCTGCAGCCGGCAGCCCAGGCCGGGGCAGGACCAGGGGCAGACTCTGTGTACCACGGACGGGCGTCCTGCTGGCAGTCTCCCTGAGTCCTCACGGCGCCACAGACACCGCTCTCGCTGTCGGCCGCGGTTTGGACACGAGGGAACACGGAGAGGCCAACCCATTAGCCCGGTGCCGGCTAGCGCGTGAGTGGGGGACCGGGGCTCCCACAGAGGCCCCCCTGCCCACACCTGGACGTTCGAGGCCGCTCCATGCGGGAAGGGGTTTCCCGGCCCGGCCGCCCCTCTGGCAGCTCGGGAGCCACACCGCTGGACCTCTGCTGTGGTCCAGGGCCCTGTGGTGTCTGTCGGCCGCCGTGGCACCCACTTCCCGCAGCACCGGCCTGTCCCCGGGCCCCAGCGCTCACCCGGCCACTGGCTGCTCTGTTGAACTGATCAGGGAGACGTGCGGTTGGCTCTGTGACCCCTGTGCCCGCAGCGGGACGGAAGCCACCCCCCCCGCTGTCCTCCGAGAGTTTTCTGAGCATGTGTGTGCACGTGTGTGCGTGCGTGCGTGTTCCAAACGGGCAGTAGTAGAGTGTGGGAAGGGGACAGGCGTGACGCTCGTGTTTGTCAGCCCGCCGACTGCGCGGGAAGCATGGAGGCCTCCGTTGCCCCCTGCCGCTCTGCCATTTCTTCCCAGCTGGGCCCCGGTGTGGAGGGGAGGTGAGAGCAGACTTCCGCTCCTGCTCGCGGGGATCCGGGCTCAGCCCCTGCAGGCAGCGGCCCCCGACTGTCTCCTGCGGCCGTTCAGCATCTTCCCAAGCCTCCCCTCCCAGCCCCCCGCCCGCCCCCCCTCCCCCAAGCTGCCAGGTCTCTGCCCAGCAGGCCCCTGCCTCTGACTCTGCGCAAGCAGGAGCCGGAGGAGTTCTCTAGACAGCAGCGCCTCCCCGCTGAAGGGGAGGGAGGGGAGGGAGAGAGACGGGGGGGGTGGGGGGGACCACGCTGAAGCCGTGGGGGCAGGGCTGCGGGAGCCTGGCAGCTCTGTGGGAGCCCCCCCCAAGAAGTAGGGCGGGCGGAGGCAGGGATGAGTCTCACCAGGGGACCGAGCTCTGTGCTGGGGCCACGTCAGCACGCCCCTGCCCGCCTGACAGCGGCCCTGAGCCTGAGCCACCTGTCCCTGCCCCTGTCGGCCTGTCTGTGTCCTGGGCGGCCCGGCCTCCCTGGTGACGGGCTGTCGGGCGGAGGGCCAGAGGGCACTGTTCCCAGACTGTCTGTGCTCCCCGAGCCCATCTCTGCATCCAGTCTCCGATCTATTGGCCCCGTGCCTGTCACTTCAGCCTGGCCTCTGCTCTCTGCCATGTCCAAGTTGCCTGTCTCCTTCCCCGGGTCGGAGGAACTGTCAGGCCAAGGGCAGCCGGCTGCACCGGGGCTGGCTCCCGGCCCAGACACACAGCCCCAAGGTGACGCCCCTTTGCAGCAGCGTTCTGAGGACCTGCTCCGGAGATGGTGGCTCCTCCAGGGACCCATTCGGGATTCAGGGAGGGAAGGAGAGGCAGGGACGGGGGTGGTGGGGGATGTGCCTGCCCAGGCCAGGAGGCTGCAGCCCTGACAGCAGGCCTTGTGGGCTGGGAGGGGGGCTCTCTCCTCTAGGGTGCAGGCTGCTGCGTGGGAGTGGGTTGCTTACACCCCCCCACACCCAGCCCACGCTCGCCTCTTGTGCCGCCTCCCCAGCCCGGGCCTGTCTGCACTGTCTGCACAGCAAGCGGCCTCCCTCGGCCCAGAACTCCTCTAGGAGGCTGCCCAGGACTGAGCGCCCCCCCCCTCCCCCTGCCAGCCTGCTGTCACCTGTCACAGGGGTGGTGTGAAGCCCATTGAGAGGGGGGGTGGGCGCAATGGCCCCAAGGGGCTAAGTCCCTCTCTTCTCCTAGTTCCTTGGAAAGAGCCGCTGCTTGGAAACAGGAGTAGGAAGGCCAGGTGCACGGCAGACCGACCGGAACAGGAGGGAGGGGTTGAGGGCATGTGGGGAGACAGCTGGGGCGGGGGGCGGGGGGCGGGGTCGCCCAGCCCGTCTCGTAGAGGCGGGGTGCGGGTTAAATCAGGGGAGGCGTGTGAAGCGCACAGAACACGAAGCGTGGCTGCCTGGGCCCTGCCAGTTGCTGAGCAAGGGGTGATCTCGACAATCCGCAGGCTCCGAACAGCCGGAGCCGCTCGCCCCCTCGCCCCACGGGCGGCCCTTCCTGCCCTGGCTTTCCACGCGCCCAACAGCTGGGCGAGGGGACATTCTGACGCGGACTGGAGGGCAGCGGAGATGCCCCTGCTGGGTGGGAGGCAGCTCGGAGGGCCCAGCACCCCGCAAGAGAGCACCGCGTTGCCTCTGTGAGCCCAGACCCCCATCCCAACCTGCAGCCGGGGTGGGGGGGAGGGCGGTCTCGGCCTGGACACCTCCCCAGCAACCAGCTCTGCTTCCGGGCACGACTCTGAGCTCCCGGAGAGGGCAGGAGGCGGCTGCCCTGGTGTCCCCATTCTCCCCTGAATGCTAATCTCACCGCCGCTGAGTGACAGGGAGAAGGCTGCTCAGAGCAGCAGGGTGGCCGAGGGCAGCAGCCCAGACCAGGGAGGTGCCGCTCTCGGCCACTTCTGTGCCCGGGACTCGGGGTTGCTGCCAATCTCCCCCAGAGCCTGGCACGTGACCAGAGAGCCCAGGCAGGGGCAGGGAGAGTCGCAGACAAGGGAAGCTGCTGTAGCTGCTGCAGCTGTCCTGCGCCACCCTAGGGTGCAAAGGCCACCTCAGGGAGTCCTTGCCCTTCCCGGACACATGCAAGTGGGCAGAGTGGCCCTGGAGGAGGGTAGGCAGCTGAGGCCCTGGCCTCGATGGGACGAGCATGTGCCCGACCGGAGGCAGGCACGAGGGCGTGGGAGCAGGGCACCCGCTGGTCCCGCAGGCCCCCAGCGTCGGGGTCCTCGCTGTTGGGAAGAAGCCCGAGGCCCTGAGCTGGAGGAGAGCGATGCTTCCTTGGGAGCCTCAGAGGGAGAATGGCCAAGTGGTTCGCACCGTGGTTTACATGAACATAATGATAATGATTACTGCTAATATTAGTAATAATGGGTGTCATGTCTTAAACATTTATGAGGTGCCAGGGCTTTACTTATGAGCACCGTCCTGTTTATGGGGCAGGAGCCGCTGTCTTCCTCCTTCACCCAGGAAGGACAGTGAAGTTCACAGGGTTTCTTCAAGGTCGCTCACAGCTAGCGGTGAGGCCAGGACTGCTAGGTTCGTGGCAGGGTGAGGCCAAAGCTCGTGAAGCTGTTGGGATACAAGGGACCTGAGTCTAGAGCTGGGTGTGACCCGCCCCCCAGGGCCCAGGAGAGAGCGCTGCCGCCCCCCCCCACACACACACACCTTGGGCGACACCGCTGCAGGGGGGCCGGCGGGGTTGGCAGGTTATCCCGCGGCTCTCCCTCCGGGGGCTCATCATTCCAGGGCAGACCAGACCCGGGGCCATGAAGGACTGTCCTTGCTGGCCCGTGAGGGGAGAGAGGCAGCTGCCGCTGCAGGCCCCGCCATGCCCCTCGGGGAGGAAGCAGGGGCAGGCAGGGATGGCAATGAGGTCACCGCTTGCAGGCACTTGGTTGCCTCCTACAGCTCCGGGGAGGGGTGGGGGTGGGGGTGGGGGTGGGGCGGGGGGAGGAGGCGCTTGAGAGAAAGGCTTTGTGTTGCCGGGGAAGCAGGGCGTGGGGATCTATCGATGGAGGGGGCAGTTTCAGAGGGACCGGCTGCCTTACTCTGGAAATGAGGTCTTGTGTCCAGGGACTGCAGACCCTCTCCGTGGGGTACACACGCCCCCTAGTGGGGGTTAAGACTCGAGGGTGGCTGAGAGGCATGTTAAAGATTTCCTGAGGACTTTGACCTAAGAGCCAGGGGAGGACTGGTCAGTGCCGGCTCTGCGTGGACACACACACACACACACACACACACACACCCCTAATACCGTACGTAGGAACCAGCTGACCTAAGCATTAGAAAATCAGTTTATTTATCCCACTGGTCACTGGCTTAACCAGCACGTGTTCGGAGCCCCAGCGAGGCCGCAGGGGGTGCCTGGGGCGGAGGGTGACCTCGAGGGAAGAGACGGTGCCCGCCCCGCGGGAGGTCCCGCAGAAAGACGCCCGCGCAGGAAGCCCAGTCCTGCCCCCTCAGCTGCCGCCAGGCCCCGCAACCCTTCCTTCCCCGGACCTCCATCTCTCCCCATCTAACCAGCGTGTGTTGAACCCAGGTGCGCTGGTGCTGAGGCCAGAGAGAAGTGCCGGCCGTCTTCCAGAAGAGAGCGGCCTGGACAAACGAAAGGGGTGAGCCCCTGGGGGCCCCACGGAGTGGCCCGATCAAAAGGGACTTCAGCCGACTGTCTGCAGGTGCCGGGGCCTGCTCACTCCGCCGGCACGTGGAGCGCCTGGGTGCCCGCGCCTGTGGGTGCAAAGTGAATTAAGACTTCCTTCCGCGCGCAAGAGACAGACACCTGCCAACAGGCAGCACGCAGGGCGGCGGCCTGTGACGGCCTCGGCGTCTGCCCCAGACGGCTCCTGCCTGTGGCTCGGGGGCTGGCGCGGGGGGGGGGGCACCCAAGGGCCCACAGGGCTCTCCGAGGTGAGGAGAGGGTGCTCCTAAGGACGCACGCAGATCAATGGGGCCCGAAAACAGACGCCACGAAGGCAACTCGGTGGACAAAGGCAAGTCCTCTCATCAGGCTACGAAAAGCAACAAAAATAAAAGAAGAATGATTCATTGGACTTGATCAACCTTCTTGGAAAGACTGGGAGAAAACACTTGTCAAGAGAATATCTGAGGAAAGACGTGCATCCAGAATATCTAAATAACTTTTACAACTTAGTATCTGAAAAAGAGCCCGTAAAAAGGGGGAGGGTCTTAATCACAAAAAAGTGTACACGTGGCCAATAAACACACAGCAAGACGCTTGCCGTGCTCAGTCACCAGGGAGCTGCGGATCAGGAATCTCAAGGCCCTGCCGCAGGCCCCCCCAAGAATGGAGGCGCCCCCCCCACCCCCCGGGGGAGGACTGACGGGACAGGTGGGACGAGGGGGCGGGGCAGCGCTCCGCGTCACGTGTGCTCGGGAAACCAACGGGCTTGGCAGCTCCCCGTGACTTGACCCAGGAGATCTGACAATTCGTGTTCCCCGAAACTTCTGCACAAAAATGTCCACAGCAGCTTCATTAGTACCAGCTCTAACGTGGAAACAACCCCAATACGCAGCCACGTGTGAACGGATCAACAAATGGTGGTATGTTCGCATAATGGAATAATCGTCAGAAACAAAAAGGAAATGGGCTACTGATGTAAGCCGTCATGCGGAATATTGAGAAAAGCCAGACATGAAAGGATACCCACTGTGTGAATCCGTGTATGTGAAATTCTAGCACAGGCTGAACTAATCCACAGTGACAGAAAGCAGATCGGCGGGTGCCTGGGGCGGGGGTTGGAGGAGGGGCCTGTCTGTAACACGGCAGGAAGGTGCTCTCTGGAGTGACGACAGGTCCTAAATTGTAACTTGGGTTGTGGGTACATGGGTGAATACATTTATTGGACCACTGGACGGTACATTTTGTGTGTTTTTTTTAACAAAAATTTTATTTATTTGTTTTTAGAGAGAGGAAGGAGGGAGAAAGAGAGGGAGAGAAGCATCCGTGTGTGGTTGCCTCTTGCACGCCCCCTACTGGGGACCTGGCCCGCAACCCAGGCATGGGCCCTGACTGGGAATTGAACCTGTGACCCTTTGGTTCGCAGGCTGGCTCTCAGTCCCCTGAGCCACACCAGCCAGGGCTGGACTGTACATTTTAAATGGATGTACTTTACGGTAAATTATACCTCAATAAAGATGACTAAAGAGTTAAAAAGAGCCCTGGCTGGTGTAGCTCAGTGGATTGGGTGCTGTCCTGTGAACCAAAGGGTCGCCAGTTCCATCCCAGTCAGGGCACATGCCTGGGGTGCGGGCCAGGTTCCCAGATGCAGGTTTGAGAGAGGCAACTGTATCTCTCACACATCCCTGTTTTTCTCCTTTTCTTCCTTCCTTCCCATCTCTCTAAAAATAAAACGTTTTAAAAAGTCATCATTTATCATCAGGGAAAAAAAAAAAGACTTAAAAAGAAACAATCCAAGAACGAAGATCTGATCCTTGTCTTACTCATGGTCTGGTGGAAAAGCCAGACATGAAAACAACCATAAAAGAGTGAGTGGAGTCCTGGCTGGCGTAGCTCAGTGGATTGAGCGCGGGCTGAGAACCAAAGCATCACAGGTTCGATTCCAAGTCAGGGCACATGCCTGGGTTGCAGGCCACGGCCCCCAGCAACTGCACATTGATGTTTCTCTCTCTCTCTTTCTCCCTCCCTTCCCTCTCTAAAAATAAAAATTAAAAAAAGAAGAGTGAGTGGTAGAAAAAGTATGTCCAATAACAGGAGTGTGTTCATCGAGTGCTTCCCCCGTGCCAGGCCCGTGCCGAGCGCTTCGCGCGCACAGCTCTGAGAGTCCCGAGAAATTCCGATGACCGTCCTCCTCAGGTGACAGGTAAGAAAGGGAGGCTTAGAGAGAGGGGCGGTCACTTGCCCGGGTTTGCTCGGCTGGCATCACCAGGGCAGAGCATGTCCTAGGCCGACCCGCCACAGACACCGCGGAGAGAGCCTGGGACTGTCACGGCGTCTCAGGTGAAGACTGTGTGGACGAGGCGCAGAGGTGTGAGCCGGGATCTATTGAGCAGAGAAGAGGGGGAGGGGAAGGAGGTTTCAAGGCCAAGGGAACTGACCACACGGGCAAAGCCCGTGCAAGAGCCGCGAGAAGGCAGCCCAGAAAACAGCAGAAGTCCATAGAACGTGACACAGTCTTCAAGTCCACTTATTTTTTTAAAAATCCATTAGCAAAACACATTCCGGAGTCACAGTGCATTTGTTTAGGAAACCTAGCTTAGTGGTTAAGGCCGTGGGTATTGGGGCAGGATTGTCTGAGTGTGGCTCTCCTTGCTTTGGCTTACTAACTACTTTCCCCTTGCTCACTTTGGCTTCCTGGGGTGCAAAACGGGGGGGAAGGGGGGCAGAAATAACAGGGCATTTGTGAGAGTCAAATGAGACCCCCCATAAAAGGTGCCCAGAGTCACCAAGTTTATACACTGAGCACGTATAGCTGTTTGCATGCCAACCGGATCGCAATAAAGGTTTCAGAAAAAGGGGGTGCTTCGGGGGTGCCTGGCTGGGAGCAAACGCTTAATATCCATTTGCCGCTGAAATGTGAAAATAATGCATCTCCGAATTGAAACAAGAGGCCTGAGGCAGGGGGCTTTAGTTATTTCAGCAGTTCCAAAGCATCATTGGGGGTTCAGGTTCTCTCCTTCCACTCCGCTATCCCAGACCTTCGGCTCCTGCTTTGAAGCGAGCCTCACGACGCAAGACGGCTGCTGCCGTCTCGGCATCACATTTTCACCATGTCCCAAAGCCAGAAGAGGGGATTTGTGAAAAAGATTTTATGTGTTTATTTTGAGAGAGAAGGTAAGGGAGGGAGAAAGAGAGGGAGCGAAACATCAATGTGTGGTTGCCTCCCACACCTCCTACTGGGGACCTGGTCTGCAACCCAGGCATGTGCCCTGACTGGGAATCGAACCAGCAACCCTTTGGTTCCCAGGCCTGAGCTCAATCCACTGAGCCACACCAGCCAGAGTGATTTTTTTTTTTTTAAAGAACACTTCCCCACACTTGGCAGACCTGCATCGCAGACCTTTTCCTAAAACAATTACTGGCCAAGGAAACAGATTTATCCTGGGGTCTGGTGCAGGCTAATCGAGGTTCACCCCTTCCGGCTGGGGGGGAGGGTGCCTCCCCTGGAGCACTGGCCCTGCTCAATTTGTGAGGGGGGTGGGGAACGGCTGCGGGACGGTCAGCCCAGTGCCTGCCACACAGATGTCACTGTCCCCGGTGTAAGCAGCCAGCTGCTTGGGCTACACCTGCCCTCGTGCATGTTCTTACTGATAAAATTAGAGATTCTTTTCCGGGTTGAGAGATTAACCACGACACGCCGGAGACTCTGCCTTCTGGACTGTGGGTCTGGGACGCCGCATCGTGAGCCCCGGCGGTGAGGGGAACCAGACAAGCCGCCCGACCGCCCGAGCACAGCAGCCTGCGGGCTGGGCTCGGCCTCGCGCTCCGGCTCTGTGACCTGCTGCTGTCCCTGATCGCTGTGCGGCTCCTCCCATGCCTCCACACAGCCACACTCAGTTGAATGATAGCTGTGTCGCAATTCCACCAGATGGAAAGCTCCAACGTCCTGGGCCGCACCAGCAGCTGAACGTGGCGGATGAATCGCCGCAGCCTTAACACGCGGCCTCACGGCTCTGAGCCCTTGGTGCTCATTCGGGAACCCCGACGCATTCCTCTCGGCGTCCCCCGGTTACTCCTGGATAGTCCACGCAGTGTACCCGGCCGGTGCTCCGGCACGAGGCCTCTCCTTGCACTTCGCCCCGGCCTCTCGGCCACTGCCCAGCAGCCTGTGACACCCGCATTGGCCGTGAGCCTGCTGCCCTCCCACCGAGAGCCCTGCGAGGGGTGCGAGCCACAGGGTGGCCCTTCCCGAGCTCTGAAGCATGGCCCTCACTGCACACTGGCAACTACCCTGGGGCCCAAGGCAGCCCTGCTGGGGACCTCCCAGAGCCCAACAGGCGTCCCGCCTCAGCTCCGGAAGCCCCTCCCCCTCACTTCCCGCCGGAAGGCGGCTCAGAACACCGAAAGGCATGCCCATCCTCCCCCCTTTCAAGGCCACCTCTAATTTCACGCCTAACCACGGCGGCAAACACGCAAAGACCTTCTTCCCTCCCCTTCCCATGTCCTCCAACCCCAAATCCCTTCCTTATACGGAAGATCAGTCTACATACAGAGCCCGGCACAAATAACGCCCCTACTGTATTACCTAAAAATCTTGCATGACAAAATCATAAGCATGGAATTCTGTAACATAACAATACCACCCTCCAGTACACCACAGGGCATTTTAGTTGAAATGTTCTAGTGAAAACTATAAATTTTTACACCCATATTATTACCCTACCAACCACGTCAGAGCAGGCGTTACTTCTGCCGCACCTGGTATAAATACTGTGCAGCGCGACTCCGTGGTAAGAGCACAGACTTTGCAGGCTGACCTCGCAGCCTGCCTCCAGTCCCTCGTCTGGAAAGTGGGGGTGGGGACAGCGCGGGTCACAGCGCCGTGGGGAGGACTAAGCGGACACACTAAGCGCTCACGCGGGGAGTGGCGCCCAGCGAGTGCTGTGGAATCAGCTGTTACAATCATCGTTTTGTCCGCGCGGGTCCCTTGCCTACTAACGCGGTTCCGCCAGGGCTCTGGGCAAATGCCACACTTAGAATTCCCTCCTCGCGCCAGAAATGAAAGGGGCTGAGTGGGCAGGGAGAGAACCCACCCTTTTCACTCGGTATGATAACAGAAGTCACCCCTTCCAGGGTACGACGGAGACACCAAGTGACCCATGTCACAAGGTGGAAGTGACTGCTAAGTGAGTTAATGATTACTTGTGGAGTACTACTCCCCGTGAGCACAGGCAGCGGAATATCAAGTAGGCCCTGGGAGGAAATTAAAAAGAAAAATAGTGGTAATTAAAAGAGGCTTCTCCTGCCTTGAAGTGTTCACAATCAAATTAAGGGAGTCACATGTAAACAAATACCATAACTCGGAAATAAGCACCCGCTCCGCACGAGCATGCGCAGCCCGGTCCAGACTAAATACCCCGGGCGCGCTGCCGAGGAGCGGCACGGGGAGAGGGTCGTGCCCAAGAGGCTTGGCGGTCTTGCAGGCTGAAACTGCCTGCCAGCACGGTGCAAATTCCGGCCCTGGCTCTCGTTGTTTTGCCCTTTTGTTGTTTCCAAAACAAAGCCAGGGTGGCTGCCTGAAGAAGAGCACTCAGAAGTACCCGTGGGTGTTTCATTCCTCTCTGTTCTTTTTCATAACGTAATTATTTCTGTTTCCCAGCATCAAAGCCACACACCCGCCGCGGGGCCTGCGGCGCGAGGCTCGCCCCCGGGTTCAGGGGAATTCGGGGCAGCCCGGCTCCCCGCTCTCGGGCGCCCCCTGCTGCCCGGGCCTCGCCACTCGCCCCGACCTGAGCAGCGGCTGAGCGGGACGGGCAACGATTCTCCGGGAACCCCGCTCCCCTTCATTAAAGCAACCAGCCACCCCACCTGGAACCCACAGAGCAACTGGGAAGAAATCCACCCGTGCCTCAGTGTCCTCACGGGTCCCCCCTCGGAAGGCCCTCCCGAACTTTCTGCGCTCCCCTTCCCCACCCCCGGTCTTGGCTAGAGACAATCCATGCACTCGGTGGCTAAAGCGACAGTCCACCTTCATTTTCTAAAGGCTGCGGCCCTTCACTGAGCAGGCCTCCCAGCCCCGGCGCTCTGCTGCCCCTCGTGGTGGCCACCACCTTGCCTAGTTCCAGAATCGCGCCGAAAAGGCAGCTAGCCCCAGCGACTCTTCCTTACACTACATTTCCCATCACCCTTTTCTTGATATCGCGAGAGTTCCGGCGAGACTGCAGGGAAGACTTGCGCGCTGGCGTGACTCTGTCCTCTCTCTCCGAGGCCGGCCGCGTGGCTGGGAGCCATGGTGGGTTCTATCCCGGCCCAGCGCGGCGAGCAGCTTCAGGCCTTTGGCAGGTGGGAAAGTGGGGTCTCTCTTGGGCGCTAGCACACTGGCGGCTGCTTTTATAGTGGCGAAATGGCGACGATGAACTGATAACCTAATAGATAGGGTGGTTGGGAGGATCAGCTAAAAATACTGGGCGAGAAAACGGCGCGAGCTTTCAGGATTGAAGGGAGAGCTCTCAAGCCCACCTTGGGCGTCGAAGGGCCCCTCCTGGGGGAGAGTGAGCCTCCGCACCTACACAACCCCCCGCGCCTCACCGCCACGTGCGAGCTGACCTTGCAGCCCCGGCGGCCCCGAGGGTCTCCGGGGGCCGCCACCGGGGCCGGCTGATAATGGCAGTTCTGAATTCACATCTCGGGAGTGTTAACGTCTCAATGTTTGACTTTCTCCTGGAGTACCTTTGGAACGGCCCCAATCGGTTTTTATTTAATTTCACATATAGTAACAGTGGGACTGTAGACTGAGAAGCCGCATTTTTACAAAGAACTTTACACGCTCATTTTTTTTCCTTCCCCACAGGCCGGCCTTTGGCGGGTGCGGAGATGGAACCAGACCTGCAGGCTGAAGCTTCGAAGTAACAAATGGGGCCCCGAAATGAGCGAGGATGGGTGGGCGGAGGCAGGATCTGGGTGGGCACCACATTCAGAAGGCCGAGATGGTGTGCGGGCCCGTCACGAACAGCGGCCTCAAACTTCGCTCTGAAGTCCAGTTCAATTCTGGGAACAAATGGGGGCATACACGTCGAATCCAGAAATGAGGGTCTGCCAGTGTGATCTGGGGGCCACTAGGTGTCACTGTTTGGACCCAAAATGGATACCCCTGCGTCCGTGGTGAAAGGGAACCTTGGAAAATGAGTTTCGGTTGCCTGGGATTTAGAAATGTTACAGGTTGAGCTGAGGATGATTTAAAGTTATCCCTGTCTGAAAGGACATCTTTTGTGAAGAATCCTGACTTGCTGAGGCTCAGCTTTTTAAGTCCCAGTCTTGAGAGTAAATAAATACCTTAAGGTGGTTTCTATTAGAATGAGAAGTATGTTTGGCATTGTTTCTCTTTTAGGTTAAAAACGTCGGCTATGAACTTGGAAAAAAGTCACATGAACACTGTCACCCTCAGATGCTGAGTGTAAGGGTCTTCGTGATGAGATTTCTGTCGATGGTAAGATTTTAGCTCCTTCACTGACTTGCGTTGGGCGTGACCTCTTTATAAGTTTGGTCTGCAAGGTTTGGGAGATGCGTGGGTCCTGCCTGGACCAGGGGAGCAGCGGGGAGCTCTGTTTGCTGGGCTCCTTGCCAAGCAGCCTCACCAACAGCATTTCTTCCAGTTGCCGGATTAGATTAGACCAGCAGTCCTCCTCGGGGGGCAGAGGGTGCTACTGGATCTAGTGGAGGCTGCTCGTGTCCCGCCATGCACAGGCGGGCCCACGACGAAAGAACTACACATCGGAAATGCCCGGAGAGCTGAGGTCGAAACCCTTTTGTTAGACTAATAGGTGATCTAGACTCTCCGCCCCCAGATAACCTCACCAGAGCCTTATTTCTTAAGCCATTTTATTTCTTTAAAAAATTTTTTTAAAGATTTTATTCATTTATTTTTTTAGAGAGGGGAAGGGATGGAGAAAGAGGGAGAGAAACATCGATGTGTGGTTGCCTGTCACGTGGCCCCCACTGGGGACGTGGCCTGCAACCCAGGCCATGTGCCCTGACTGGGAATCGAACCTGCGATGCTTTGGTTCACAGCCCAAGCTCAATCCACTGAGCTACGCCAGCCCATGGCTTAAAAAAATTTTTTATACTCAATCCAAGGGCATGCTCATTGATCTTAGAGAGGGGGGAAGGAAGGAGAGAGAGGAGGAGAGAAACATTGATTGGTTGCCTCTTGTACTCACCCCAACCAGGGACCAAACCCACAACCTAGGCAGGTGCCCTGACCGGGAACTGAACCTGCAGCCTTTCAGTTTATGAGGCAGGGCTCCAACCCACTGAGCCCTACGGCCAGGGTGATCGGATATATTTTTAGCTTGGCTTTTTATTGCCGCAAGATTATAGTGCTGGCTATTTTTAAGTAGCTCTCAGGGCAGATCCATAATCCTCTGCCTTACAAAACTGGAAGCTATATGCTTGCTCTGCGGGGTCATCTTGTAACACAGATGTGGGAAAGGGAAATGACCTTGTGTGTCGTTGTGTCTCGGCATCAGGTGCGCTTGCGCGCTGGCCTCCAGTAGGCTTGCTGAGAGGAGTCGTCCACGCTGCACTGATGCTAGAGAGACCCTAGAGTGTCTGCCCCATGGGCAGCCGTAAGCCTCGCGGTGCCGGGGAGACCCTGCTTTAAAAACGGCGGGGACCGTCTGAGTGTCAGGTCTGGGGCTACACTACACTACATCTAGCACTACATACGATCTGTTTTTGCCCGTGAGGGAAAGTGCATTCTAGTTGAGTAGACAAGGTAGAAATAGAATGGGAGTTGTCATGAGGGAAGCAGGGCAGGTTTGGGTAAAAACAAAGACCAACGCAGTAGTCTGCAGGAGCTGTGGGCGTGGTGCCGCGGGCTGGTGGGTGGGTGGGAGCTGAGTCTGTGATGATGCGAAGTTATCCCTGTCTGAAGGCGAGGAAGGCCTTCCGGTGTGGAATCTGGATGTCTGAGACTCGGGTTCCCAAGTTTGCTCCTGAACAGAAAATTCAGGCTTGGTTTGAAAGGAACTTGAGAGACCTGCAAATGTGCAAAATCTTAAATAGATTTTTGTGTGTGTGTGATTTCTCCACCACAGGGATGGTCATAGCCTTGGTTTCTGAGGCTGAATCGGACCCCGCACCCGCGCCAACCAGCAGTGACCAGCGCCGTGTCAGCCACGGTGGGTTTCTCTCGTGTGTGGAACGAGACTCGCCCCACAGGCTTGCGCGGGGTGTGTGTGTGGCCTCCCTGCCCGGGACTGGGAGGGAGGGTTGTGCTGAGTGGCGAGGAGACTTCACACGCTTTCATTGTCTTTGGTAGATGTCTGCAGTGAGGCGCAGAGCTGACCTGCTTTGCCTGAAGCAAGAGAAACTGTCCCCGTCCCGTCCTTTGTGAGTTTTCTGCTTCTAGCTTGCATGTCCCTAAGAAGCCCCACCGGGCTGTGTTCTTAAAAGCAGCTCGGGCCTCACGCGAGGTCCAGTTGAACGGACTCCAGAGGGAACTGTGGACACCCCGCTGAGACCCCAGGCCGGCGCGCCCCTCTGCCGCTCAAAAACCGACGGTGAGGCTGCCCTGTCCCACCTTTGGCGCCTTGATCAATGTCCCTGAGGGTGCGGGCTGTAAGAGGTGGCAGAAACAGGCACGTGGCCCGGACCTGGCTCAGGCTCAGGCTCCTCACTGTGGAATGAAGCCGTGCACGTCAGGCATTTCAGAAGAGGAGTGCGCCCTTGGAAACAGCCGGGAGAGCAGGCTGGGCGCCGGCCGGGTGGAGTGAGAGTACTCGGGGCTTCTGGGTGGCTGCCTTTGCCCGGGCGCTGGCCTTCAGGAAGAGGGGCGGCCTGGGCCTCCTGGGGCTCCTGGGGCTGCAGAGGGCGCGGTTGCCTGGCACGTGGGCAAGAGAGTAGCGAAGTGGCTCTGGGCAGGGAAGGCATCTGGCTTTGTTCCTGTTTAAATGCTAGGCTTGAAGCTGGCACAGTGCTGGCTGAAACTGGGGGCGGGGGTGTGTTCTTTCTGCTGAAGATCGCCTAGGGAGCTGGGGACACTGAGGGAGCTGCACTTGGGGTGAGATGCCATGAGCCTGGAAACTGGCCCCGGCAGCTTACAGTCCAGCTGACTGAAGGGGCACGTTGGCGAGTTGGGGACTCTGCAGAGGTTCTGCATTCGGAGCGGGGTGAATATCGACGTCCCCCTCGCTTTGCGGTTGCTCTTTACCGGCCGCTTACGAACCTCGGCCGCACCTTCCCTTCCCCGCAGCACCGCCCGAGAAACAAGCTCCCTGGTCACCTGGGCGTCGCACCAGCCCCTGGGGAACTCGCTGAATTGCATCTGCTGTGCCCTCGACACACACACAGGCACGTCGGGTGCCGTGAGTGCCCCTGTGGCTGCCGTTTCTCTGAATCAGCGGGCGCGCTACGGTTAGCCGTTGGTGTCGAGGCACTTTGTTGGCTGTGGTGTGAGGTGTTTCTCTTTTTTTGCTTTTATAGGTGCCCTCCTGTGGCGCCAGACGGGATCTGCACAGCCTCTGGGCCAAGCGTTCGTGCCTCTAAAGTGGTCCCCCCAAAGGAGAATTATCCCAGAGTTCTTTGGACTTCACCTTCAAAAGTAGCCAAATAGCCCTGGCTGGTGTGGCTCAGTGGATTGAACACTGGCCTGCAAACCAAAGGGTCGCTGGTTCAATTCCCAGTCAGGGCACATGCCTGGGTTGTGGGCCAGGTCCCCAGTAGGGGGCGCATGAGAGGCAACCACACAATTGATCTTTCTCTCCCTCTTTCTCTTCCTCTTCCCCTCCTCTCTTAAAAAAATAAAGTATTTTTAAAAATAAAAAGAAAACCAAATTTGGGTGACAGTGAGTTTATCCTGGAGAATCTTGGGCAACCAGTGAAATTGGGGTCTGAGAACCTGAGGGACACCGCAGCCCAGGCCACCGGACCCGGGCACTGTTGGGCCACAGTGACGGCAGGTCGAGGGCCGTCGGCGAGGCTGTGCTCCTGTGGGGGAGCAGGTGCTTGGACTCAGCTCTCGGTGCGTCCCCGTTTTGGTCTGTGGGTCTTGGGCTTACATTTTGAAGCACAAGTAAATAATTTTTTAAATGACTGGTGTGGAGTTCAGATCGAGACCCAGGTAAAAACACTTTTATACTGTGATTCAATAAACAGCTTTAGGTAAATGAGTTTCACAGAAGATAAACATATACAAGGCATAACCAGGTGTTAGGGGTTTTTTGTTTCAGTTTCCCACCAAGTTGATTTTATGTGCCTTCCATGGGTTGCCACCAACAGATAAAACGAGCACCTCTCAGCTGTAGATGGACAGGTTCCGGCAACCACAGAGCAATGGGGTGGGGAACGGTCGGGTATCGTGGACAAAGGGGTCCCGGCAGCAGGAAGCTACAGCTTCCTCCAGTAGCTGCTTGAGTATTGAGGCCCAAGCTGTCCATTCTGTTACCGTCTCTGACTTTCTCAGGTAGCAGCATTTTGATGCTAGTGACAGCCCGTCCCTCCTGTGACACTTGCTGATAGGCTCAGCCTCCCGTCCCAGAGGCCAGCTCCTAGCCCCCGAGAGGTGAGCAGTGTGGATGGGTGCTGCCCCCCACCTGCAAATTTTGCAAAAGCTACTCAGCACAGGACAGCAACCCCCAGGGTTCAAGGGCTGTAATGGTGCGGGCTTGGCTCCCAGTAGAAGCCCATGGGGTGTCTAAAGTGAAACTGCCCGTCAGTTAAGTTCAAATCGTTGCAGCCATGAGGTTCAGTACCTGCTGGCGAGGGTTCCTCACCTGGCGACGGGGTGGCACTGTACCACTGAGGAGATTCCCCCAGGGGCCGGCAGCCTTCCCTGCCATTGGCCCCGGCCAAACACCAGACTGTCCCCATGGATCCTGAATTCTCAGGACCGTACCACCTCCCCCAACACAAGGAAAACAAAACGGTTGTCCACCATTTATGCAATCACCTAGTTTCCAATTACATTCTGCCTTTGGTGCTTCATCCGGGGTAGGTGTGAGTCGGCCAGGTTCTCGGGAAGGCGAAGTCGTGTCCTTGAGTTGCCCTGGCGTTTGCGAGGGGCCCTGCCTGCCTGCCTGCCTGCGAGGGGGAGGGTCTGGGCTGGGGAGTGCGTTTGTGACGTTGGGCCCCACCTGCCGGCCTTGAGGCTGGGCTCTAAGGTGTCCCTTTCTGACGAGGCGACAGCCACATCTTGGGAGTGTTGTCTTCGGGGTTAAATCCAGCGGAGCAGCCCATGTGCCCTCGCCCCGGGTTGGAGTGTCCGTCTCGGAGCCAGAGGGGAGTCTTCTGGGACGAGCCAAGGACAAGAACGGGTGTTTCACAATGAACAGGCCTCGGTGACAGTCATCGGCAGGGAAGGAGCGGGTCTGGGATCGGGGACCCTGTCACGCTGAAAGGACAAGGTGGCACTTCGGCTTCTTTGGAGGGGACTCGGCCGCCAGCTCTGCGGGGACAGAGGGCGCGGTGGTCCGGGGTCAGCGCTGGTACAGCCGGAGGATGCCGGCCGTGTGCAGGTCCCGCCACAGGGCCGCCTCCAGGGACAGGTCGTGGTTTGCGTAGAACACCAGTGGCTTCTTGACTCGGTCGAAGTAGTGGTCAGAGAATTTCCAGTAGTTGCTGGTGATGAATCCATAGGCGCTCACCTGGACAGATGTGGGCACCGAGTCAGCGTTCCCTGGGCTGCTCCCTGGGGGCGGGCTCACGGGCAGTGACCGGAACCCGGGAAGGCCCGCCCCCGCCCCCGCCCCCTTCGTCCACGTGAAGGTGCAGGTGCACAGCAGTTGTAGCCGTGTGCTCTTTGCACTGATTTTCTCACCCAGCTTCACAACTACCATCCCCCTTTGACAGACGGAGGAACACACTCAGGTCACCCAATGTGCCCTGTGAGTGGCAGGCAGAGTCCTGAACCCACACCCGGGGCTCTAAAGACACGGTCACCACGAAGCTCAAGACAGTGGCGGAATCCCATTGCTACCAGTTCCCTGTGCTACTGGCGGCTGCGGACTGAGTCTCCCGCTTTAAAAGAGGGAGAAGGTGCAGGGCTGGCATGGGGGGGGGGGCTGGCTCTAGTGCGGGTCACTGCCTTTTGTGGAACGGCTTCTCAACCTTGCCCCGTGGCACATGTGGGCAGCGTCCCAGCGCACCTGTCTCTTCTAGCGACCGGGGACTGTGTGCGGAAGGCGAACCCGGCCGTCCCACCCACTTCCAGAGTGTCCTCCCAAAAGGCTGTGCCTGCCCAGTTCTGCTGAGAAGGTCTTGCTTTCGGAACAGCCGTTGGACAAAGTGAGCCTTAAATATCACAGAGAGCGGCCTTCCTGGGGACGAGGGAGCGAAGGAAGGAAGGGCGGGCTGGGGCAGGTGGCACCTGTAAAGGACCCTGGATATTGGGTGTGTGGTCCCTCCGGCCGCTGAGGGATCCCTTCCCCACAGGACGGAGGCCCAGGCAGGTCTGCGGGTGACAGGCTTGTAGGGATCTCAGGAATCAAATCAGATCCCATTCACACCTGTCCTCCGCTGTTGTGGATCCCTGAGGGAGAAGACCTCTTCTTCTTACCTGGTCACAGGTGTGTAAAGCTGTCAACAACATGAGGGCCCCAGTACTGGGCATATAGAGGTCTCCGAAATTCGTGTTCATCAGCCTGGATTTCAAAAACCTGGAAGCAAAAAGGCACTCGCGTTCAGACCCTGAGGTCTCGCACACTAGTTCCACGAGTGGGCCGTTACAGTGTAAAGCGACACCGGTCGCTTTACAGTGACCGGTTCAGAAAGGTCGGAAAGTCTCCGGCCCTTCTACCCCAATCAAATCCTTAACTTGGGGGAAAGACCAAATGAGCTGTGACAGCAGAGTGTTCAGTTGAGAGCCGTCCAGGAGAACCGCAGGGAGGATCCCGCGTTCTCTCCCCTTCTGGAAGCCTGAGGCCAGCCCGACTCTGCTGCCGCCGCCTGGGCTCAGCCCTGGGCTGGTGAGGAACCACAGGGCGCAGGCCACCGAGCCCCACGTTTCTCTCTGTCTGCAGACTGGGCCAAGCAGGAACCACGCACGAGGGACAGGGCGCACAGGTCCCGTGGCCGGAGCCCCCGGTGAAGGGGTGCCTGTGAGTGTGTGTGCACTCGGAGTCCAGACGTGAGGCCACAGCGTGGTGACCACGGGCGCTGGCCGCAGTGCCGGATTCACGCCCAAGCTTCTTGGGCCAACCTGGCCTCAGCCCTCGGCTTCTTCTGTTGCCTGGGACTCCCCTTTGCCGGGGGCCACCTGCACCCCTCACGGGCTCTTGGGGTGCTGTCCGCTGGGCTGCAGCAGGGTTCCCCTGCCGACCTGGCACTGTGGACATGCGAAAGGGCCAGGTCGTTCAGGACCCTCCGGAGGGCCCTGTCTCTCTCTCTCTCGTGTTTCGGGGACTGGCCCATGGTCACAGCCATGGAAATACTCAGGTAGTAAATGGGCCAATAACAAGGGCCCGGTGCCCCGCCTGGCATGAGCTCGGGGGCTAGGTTGCAGCGTGTGGGCATGGAGAGAAGACCTGCAGTGCGGGGGGGGGGGGGGCGGGGGGCGGGACTGTGCTTCCCGTCCCCCCCCCCCCCCCCCCCCGCGACCACCTACCTCTGGGTCAGGTAGCTGATGAAGTCTGGATGGAGTAGCCTGAATTTACCGGCAGAGGCTTCCGGCCCAAAATAGGTCTGCGGCCTATTTGGAGTAGAAGTGCACAGAGCGGCTCAGGCTGTCGCAGTGGCCGGAGTGGCCGTAGTGGCCGTGGGGGTACGAGGCGTAGGAGACGCCGCCGGGGCTGGGCCGGCGGCGGGGGGCGCTGCGGTAGGCGCGCGGCTGCGAGTAGTAGCGCGAGAAGGGCGTGTAGAAGGTGGCCGGCAGCACGCTGGGCACGGCGGGCGGCTTGCCGCCCACCAGCACCTCCAGGGGCGGCGAGTAGGTGAGCGAGGAGGGCGGCGCGAGCAGCGCGGGCGGAGTCCGGTAGGAGCAGCGGAGCGGCGGGAGGGGGGCGGGGGGCGGCAGCAGGGGGAAGTAGAGCGAGGAGGGGGGCGCGGGGCGCTCGCGGTCGTAGGCCGGGTACAGGGGCAGTGGCGCCGTGGGGGGCTGGAAGAAGGGGGGCTCCTTCAGGAAGCGGGGCACGTAGGGGGTGATGTAGGCTGGGATGCCCGGGATGCACCCGATGTAGGAGGCCGAGGGGGCGGGGCTCTGCGAGGGGGACTTGGCGGGCGACTGGGAAGAGTTTCGGGACAAGGGTTTCAAGCCGGACTGGGAGGGAGACTTGGAGGCGGGCGGCGTGGGGTTCGGGGCAGGCCCTCGAGACGCGTGTTGGACATGAGGGCTGGGGGACAGGGAGGGAGCCCGGGAGGAGGGCTGTGAGGGGGCGGGGGTGGGAGGGTGAGAGGGGGGGCGGGAGGCGGGCCCCCGGCTGGGGGGTGGGGAAGGGGCGGAGCCGCCCGGGTTGGACTGCGGCTGCTGGTTGGCGGGGCTGTTGTTGTGGTTGGTTCGGGACTGGGAGGGGGACTGGGTGGGGGACGGACTAGGGGTCTGGGAAGGGGAGCTCATTGGTGTCGGCAGGCTTCTCTGCACCGGGTGTCTCTGAGCTAGCCCCCTCAAGAGCCCAGCCCCCCGCCCCCAGGTCACAAAGCCCACCCTCATAACCAGCTGCCCCATTGTGAGCAATGCTTGGGTGCTCACAGAGCCCGGCGGGGCGCGGGGGCGGGGCGCGAGGGCGGGGGGCGGGGCCGGGTTATGGGTGCGGGCCTGACCTTTGAGGGGTTAACCCCCAAGGACCCCCTTGGAGGCTGTTCGTCCAAGGGACTGGCAGGAAGCAGTGGGGGGGAGGGGGGGCTGGTCACTGTGGGGCCAGGGGTGGCGGAGGTCTCTAAGGACCTGACTCGGGGACACCAACTTGTCTCAGCAGCACTGGGAGGACGATGGGCTGAGGGCCAGGGCGTGGTGCGAGAGAGCTGGACACAGGCCTGCTGCCCGGGAAGGTGGGGGCTGAGACAGAGTGCCCTTTGTTCCCGCGGCCCAGGGCACTGGGCCCACAGCACCCGGTCTCCCATTTCATGCACCGGGTCTGGGGAGAGGGGGCCAGCCTGGGGCGTGGCGTGGACACAGGCCCTGCCGCTCAGCAGGACACGCTCAGCAGGACCAGCTGGGGACAGGTCCTGCCAATGCTGCCCCTGGGAGGCTGGGTCGGTGCCGGGGTCGGCAGCCTGAAGCTGAGGACCCGGGCGTGCCCGCTCCACTCAGAGAAGCAGCCCCTCAAGCCCCCCACCGAGGCGGTCAGGAGGGTGGTGGCAGAAGGGAGCGCCGCCCCCCAAAGTTCCTGAGCCCAGGGGAGATTTTCTTGCTGCCCTCACCCACCTTTCCTGCCAGACGGGGGGGGGTGGGTCTCAGGAGCGAGGGGAGGTGCCCCGCCCCTGCCCGGTGGCTCACCTGTCCCCTTGGTCGGGGCCCTTGCGGACAGGCTCACCCAGCACAGCGGCCCTCAGCATCACGTAGTCACGCAGGTCTGAGGGGATGAAGATGTACCGCAGGTCCTGCCGGGGCGACAGAGACCCTGAGCCCCTGGCGGGGGGGGGCCAGATCACGTCCGGCCCCTGCCCAGCAGGGACGGCCACCCGCCCCCCTCAGTGCCGCCATCGCCCCGATGGGAGGGTCTCCCGTCCGTGCCTGTCAGTGCCATTCTCAGGTGCTGCGGTGGCCTCAGGACCCGCGCGCACATTCTCCCAGGCTCTTCCCCTCCAGAGGGGACGCTTACCCACCGTGCCCCCGAGTACGGGCCAGACAGTGACTGGGACTAGTTTTTCTAAGGACAAGGAAAACAATGACGGGTGTGCCTTCGCCCACTTGCTCTCTGGGATCGATCACTCTGGGCGAAGTCAGCTGCCGTGGCCTGAGGACTCTCTGGTGGCCCCTAGGGGGGCCCGTGTGACAAGGGCCTTCCTGCAGCCGCAGCCGCAGCCCCTGAGAGACCCCGAGCCAAAACCACTCCGCTAAGCTGCTCGCAAATTCCCGACACACTGAGACTGTGAGACGGCAAAGCGACCGTGTTTGGGGCTGTTTGGAGATGCGGCTCACACAGGTGCTGTGGCCGCTCCAGAAATAAAGCCGCTCGCTCCGCTGGCTCTGTCCTGAGCCGAGAGAGGTTCCGCTGGGAGGCCTGGGTGCCCAGACTCTCTGGGTGGGGCGCTCTTAATTCCCTTTTCAGAGGAGGAAGCTTCTAGAATCCCGGCCCTGTTAAACATCTGGCAACCCCTTCTCTAGGGATTTTCCGGACCCTGCGCTGCAGCGCCCAGACCTCCTTAAGGGGAAGCTCGTGGTAGCGACTGGGTGTGGCCAAAGGAGGCTGGGGGCAGCCAGGACTCTGGCTCGCTCCTCAGGCTCTGGGCCTCGGCTTCCTGCACAGGCTGCTGGGAGAAGTCGGGAGGGACACGCATGCCACTGTTTGCTGGGCCGCGTGGGAGACTGCAAAGCACCCCAGGTCTGTGGCCCGAGGGGCCCAGCTTTCATGGATTCTAGCTGGGTGGTGGCCTTGCACATGCCACCATCTAGAAATAGGCAGCTCTGGGAAAACAGGGCAATGCTGGGAACAGGCGGAGCCCTCGGCAAATGCCTTCCCTTGTGTGCGGCCCTGGCGTGGGAGTGTGAACGTGAGCCCCGGCCCCACTGCTGCTCTGCTGGGCACGGGTCACGGAGCCCTGGCCTCCCTGCCAGCCCAGCGGAGCTGCCGTGGCACCTGGAGGTCGCCTGGCACCCCATAAGCTCTCAGTAAACATTAGCCATTCACACTCCGGTGCCGAGTGGTGCGGGGCTGCCTGAAACAGTGGGGCATCCCCGCCCGGATGGGGATGTTTTCCCCCCTCAAAGGCTCCACCCCTGCGCCCAGGATCCTGGCACAGCTCTGCACCCACTGACCGGGCCTTGGGTGCCCTGTGGCTCCCCCCGAGGAGGAGCTCCGGGAGCAGTGCGCCGCCCACCAGAGGCCTCACCCGTCCTCGCGGCACCGAGGAGAAGCCCAACTTCCCGTAGGAGATGAGCGAGTTCTTCATCGTGTTCACAGTGAAGCCGTAGAAGGAGGTCTTGGTGCCCACATCCTCCTCGAAGCCTTTGATCACAGCTCCATTGAGTCTGGTCCGGACAGAGGCCGGTCAGCCTCCGGGCGGTCACACCCCACGTTGTGCAAGCACTTCCGGTGCGCCTGTCCCGTGCCTCTGCGGACCGCTCCCTCTGCCCATGGCTGCATGGGCAGCCGCTCCTCCACACCTCGGGGGGGCTATCTGCGAAATGGGCACATCTGGCCCTGCTGGCCCTTCCTCCCAGGTCCCCGAGGCACGCGTGTTTGCAAGTGCCTTCGCCCGTGCCCGCCAGCCCGTTGCAACGGCGGAGCCGCCCAGTACCGCCCGCCACCCAGGCCCGGGAACATGCTGTTGCCTAGCTGCTGCCGCCGCCGCCACTCCTCCCCGGCCCCTGCCCCGTGTACCTGAACACGTAGTCGTGGGCGTCGATGTTCAGACCCTGGCGGGAACCGTTCAGAATGCCCCCGTTGCCCACCACGGCACACCGGACGCAGTCCTGGTGCGGCACCCCCCCGGAGCCGAACAGCTGGGCGCTCTCCGAGCCATTCAGGAGGCTCAGGGTGGAGACGACATCTGTGGGTGCGGGGCGGGCGGGGCGCGATGCAGGGGCTGCCGGGGGTCAGCGGGGACCCTCCCAAGACCTTCCCGTGCCCACCTCGCCTGAAGCTTGACCCCAGCCCCTCCCAAGAGGCACAGAGGGTGGGAGGGGAATGCAGGGTCAGTGGGGCCATGAGAACAGAAAGGGGGACAGGGTTTGGCTGTGCCTGCAGGGACTCGAGGACTTGAACAACTGGTCCTCTGGAGACGATTCCAGAAGGAAACAACCAGGGCCACATGGGGGAAGGGGTCAAGTTAACGGAGAGGGGGGTCGGGGTGGTTCCCACAGCAACAGAGTTCACAGGGCAGCCTGGGGCGCTGCAGCCCCTGACTTCGGCCCCCTTTGGACACTGGCACCTCGGTCTTTGGAGGGAGGCCTCAGGGAGGCCTCAGGGAGGCCCCAGGAGGGTGAGAGCTCTGGGGGGAGGAGGGCAGCCAAGCCCTCCTGCTGACCCCTTGGCGCTGTGGGGGCAGGAAAGTAACGCAGGAGCCACACAGCTTTCTGGGAGGAGCGGGACATGGGGGTCCCGCATCGTGGCACTGTGAGGGCCCCGAGACCAGGAGGGAGCAACGGGCTGAGGCCAGAGGGCTGGCTGAGAGGCCGTGGCTGTGGGTTACCTTGGCGGGAGAGCCCCTGCCAGCCATAGGGGGCTTTGCGCTGGCTCAGGCTGTCCCACAGCTGCTGGGTGTAGAGGCCCCTGGACAGCAGCACTGGCCTGGAGAAGTCAAACAGGCCCCGGAAGCGTGGGTGCCGCTGAGCGGCCAGAGCCAGAGGGGGTCCACACGGCCGGCCCTGCGGGTGAGCGGAGGAGAGGGGGCTGGGCTGAGCCTCCGGGGGTGCTGCTCGGCCGTGCGGCAGGGCTGGGAGGGAAGAGCTGCCCTTCTCCCTCCAGACTTGGGGAGAAGAGGGCTTCTCGGACTCACCCAGCCTGGGCCTTCTCGTGGACACCACACCTGTGCCTCCTGAGGGCCCTGGCCCCCTACTCCTGCACCTCTCTCTTGGGGAAGCTTGGGGGCATTTTCCCACGGGTGGGTGAGGCCAGCCTGCCCCTTCTGTGGAGGCGGCGCAGCTGGGCTCTGCAGTCGGTGGCCCTGCATCTGACTGCTAGCTCTGGGGTCCTGGCTGTGGGGTTCTCGGGGACAGGGCTGCCAGGAGGGGATGACCGTCTTTCTTGCAGGCGGTGCCTAGACTGGGTTCGGTAGTGTCTTCCCAAAATGCACCTCTGCCCAGCACTTCGGAACGTGACTGTAGAAGGGCCTTGCAGGCGTGAGTGGTTAAGATGAGGGCATACTGTATTCAGGTCGGCCCTAAGTTCAGTGTCGTCCTGAGGAGGTCGTCGAGTGATGCCAGAGGCAGGGGCTGGGTGCGCAGCCACGAGCCTGGGACTGCCTGCAGCACCCAAAGAGGGTGGAGCCCAGGAAGGTCCCCCAGGCAGCCCCGCTGGCGCCTTATTTGCAGGCCTCTGGCCTCTGGAACTGCACAGGAACACATGTCCCTTGTTTTAAGCCCCCCCCCCCGCCCCGGTTTTGGTGATTTGTTCCAGCAGCCCTAGGAAACTACAGACGGAGCCTCTGCAAGCTGGGACCTTGAAAAGGGGGGGCGCGCAGAACAGGCCCCAGCCCCGCCCACCCTGCAGATTTCAAGACAGATCCCCTCCCAGCCTCTGCCTGGGCGGGGCCCCTCTTATCAGTGCCAGGAGCTCTTTGTGAACGGGCGGGCTTGATAAGGCTGGAATGAGCTGTGTGTGGTCACGTCCGCTACCACGTGACAGAGCGGCAGGACTGTGCAATCAAAGCCACAGGGCACAGCGCTCAAAACCTCGACCAGTGACGCAGCAAACGCAGGGGAACCCAGGGAGGATGGGAGCACAGCTCTCACACACTTGTGGTTCCATACACAAGTGCTACTGAGTATGGCGGGCGCCCTTGGAAAAGCCTTGCCCTGCCCCGCACCGTGGAAGTCACTGGGAAGCGGTGGCAAGGGGGTTCTCACACGCGATGGAGCAGGTGGAGTGTGTGCGTGTGTACGTGTGCGTGCGTGTGCACATTCTGCGTTTTCCTACTCGGCTCCCTTCCGTCGGGTGTGGTTTTCGGCCGAGTGTAACCCCGTGTTCTCACTGACAAGTGGCTCAGAAGCAAACGCAAAATTTGTGTGACGCCCAAAAGGTTTTCTAAGATACCAGTCTTGTCGGGACTGATGTCGCAACTTTGAAAACGGCTGGAACTTGGAAAATTCGTGCTTTCGAAGCAAGCGCTAGAGCAGGACAGGCCATGGCTGTTTCGCCGCCACTCGGGGTATCATCACGACGTTTTCCAGGGCCTTCCCTACGAGGCGCCAGGGGAAGCATCTCCAGGCCTCCCTTCCCCTGGGCGTGTGGCTGGCTTTTATCTCACAGGCCTGGTGGTGAAGTTTCCTGTTTCACTATGGCCGCCAGGAAGCTCAGAGACAGATATACGGCCTGTCTCATGCCTTGTGGCACAGCTTCACCGGCTCGACTGACATTTTCCTTCACCTGCTTATTTTACTCTATTTTGCATTTCTGCCTTGTGATATGTATCTAAAAGTGACCTCGAATCCTCCTTTTAGACCAGTGCGGATGTCTGTTATGGAGCACCCAGCAGCGCCGGGGGAAAGGACCTGAGGCACGTGAACGTGACCTGGGCGAGCTTGCGTGTGACGCCAGCAGCCTGTCTTCCGCCTGCCGCCCAAAGGTCCTCCTGGCCTGCGGTGCTCAGTGGCCCAGAGCCGGGCGCTGGGGTCAGACCAGGGGCTCGAATCCCAGGACTGCCTCTCTTCCCTGAGACACCTTGAGCGAGGTACCTGGCCCCTCTGCGCTTCGGCAGCCCACAGTCCCCAGCGACTGCTAGTTCTGGGGCAGGGCCTGGAAGGTTCTTAAACCCTCAGAGCAAACCCGGGTCATCTCCCCAGGGTTTAGTGTTGACTCTATGGCGAGCAGCTTACATGTGACTTTCATAGTAAAATGAGATTTGGAGGACTAGAATGTCAAATTCACAGACTTTTTTAAGGGGCCATGGCTGGTGTGTCTCAGTGGATTGAGCGCCGGACTGTGAACCAAAGGGTCGCTGGTTTGATTCCCAGTCAGGGCACGAGCCTGGGTTGTGGGCCGGGTTCCCAGTAGGGGGCACAAGAGAGGCAACCACACATTGGTATTCCTCTCCCTGTCTTTCTCCTTCTCCTTCCCTTCTGTCTAAAAATAAATAAATATCTCAGAGGACCTCCAAGAAATGTGCAGCTGGCTGTATACCCCAGGGACCCTACTGGTTCACCCTCCTCCACTGGGGTACAGTGAGCCCTAGCGGCCAGGGCCGAGGAGCCCTGTGGCTGTTCCGCCGTTTGCTTCATTCTGTGGGGCCGGGGGGTGGGAGGGGAGGGCTTCCAGAGAGCCCAGCAATCTCAGAGAACCTTCTGTGTTTGCTCTTCTCCGTCCCCTCCCCCCCGCTAACTCGAGGGCGCTCCAAAGTACCGAGTAGCCAACCACTGTACCTTTCTTGTCCCCGAATTCGCAGCCTTGGGTCCAGAGAACGCCCGAGGCGCCGTGGAGCTCCTGGGGGAGAAGGCACAGGTGAGGCAGGGGCCGGACCGCCCCGCGGAGGTTAGCTGCCGCCTGACCCTGACCCTGACCCTGACCCTGAGCGGCAGCTCGGGGAGCTGACCCAGGGGCTGCTCCTTTGGTCCGCCCGTTTCCAGGTTCTGATTCTTGTCCGTCTCTCTCGCGCGCGCGTGCACAAAACACAGCCACAGAATTATGTTCTGACAAGCTGTATAAACCCCTTGGCAAGCGGCAGAAACGTGGAGTTTATAGGAACAGTGGTTAAAAGATGCAAATATAAACTAGGGAAGCTTGCCGGCCCCTTGTGACCATGCAAGGGGCTTCCCTGCCAAGGTCACAGAGTGGGCTCTGTGGCCGGCCCGGAGGACTCGGGCCCCTGCGCCCCGGGCCGGCCCGTGCTGGCCGCTGCCCCGAGGGTCCTGAGAAAGGGCCAGGGTTTGAGGCCTGACTCCCTGGGCTTGGACCCCGGGACATCAGGAAGTCACGGAACTTCTAAGAACCCGAGTCCCTGCATCTGGATAGCAGGGAAAATCACGTTACGTGTCATCCGGTTGTGGCGAGATTCAGAGGATCTATGCTGTTTCCTATAAAAAGCGTCCTCGGACTAAATGTTCGCTACGGCTACCTAGGGAAGGAAAGGACTTCTTGGTGATAGCCTCTTGGTGACAGTGTCCCTTCTGCTGGGAGGTGACGGGCTAATGTGACCACCCCACCCCTCCCTCCCGGGTGCGCCCCCCACCCCCCATCAGGCACAGGGCAACGAGAAAGGAAGGAGGAAAGAGGGGCCCTTGCCCGCTCCGAACGGTATCCGGTTTCCCCCAGACTCCGGTCCTCTCCCAGCAGCCACCAGGGAGAAGGTGGGGAGGTTAGGGAAGGGTGCTTTGCGTGGGAGACAAAGGCCTTTGTTTGCTTCTGGGAGCTGAGTCACGAGTCCCTTCAGGTTTCTGCCGGACCCTGGGGGGCAGGGCAGAGAGAGCTGGGGTGAGCCCTGCCCTTCAGGCTGGCCGGTGTCCACCCACAAAATCCCGTAGGCCCTGTCCATGAGTGCACCAGGGAGCACACCCTCTGAGGAGGGACCCTGCAACATCGCGCAGCCTGGAAACCCCTGTGAGCTTCTGAAGAACACCCAGGCCCAGGCCCCACCCCCACCCCGGGATCCTGATCTGATTGGCCTGTTGGCCTGTCCCCAGGTGCTGCCAACCTGCGGCCAAACAGGACCCGCTCAGCAGGGCCGGATGGAGACAGGAGGGATAGAGTTGCAAGGGAGGTGAGGGGGCCCCCCATTCAGTTTTGCCACCCTGAACACCACCTCCCCTCCCCGCCCGTGTTTCGGGGAGGCCAGCTCGCCTATAGGGCACCCTCAGTCCTCAGGGACTCCTCCCGGGGCTCTGGACACATGTCCGAGGAGACAGAAGCAGCGAGGGAAGGGCCAGCCCACCTGAGCCCCCTCTGGGGAGTTCCCGCAGCCCAGGGCAAATAAGGAAGGACAGTGCAGTACAGTTTTCATAAAAAAGACATTTACTCAACTTCTCAGGAATCTTGGCTCTAAAATATTCTTCCTTTTACAAAATAATGTTGGCAGTAGATAGCACCCTGGCACCCTGTATCTATCCTCACCCTCCTCCTATTAAAAAAAAAGAAAAAAAAGTCTGGAACTCCCCTTGCCTGGGAGCCGCCCCCCCCACTCCCGCCTGGGAACTACTGCTCCAGATTCTTCTGAGAGTGCAAGTCTGCAGTTAGGGACCCGGGGTCTGGGGCCACAGGCCTGGCCCCGGTGCCCTTGTCCCCTGGCCTCTCCAGGTGGCCAGGCAAGCCCGTTTCCCGTCCCAGGTTGGGGAGGTCCCACAACCTGTTCTCCCTTCCCAGAAGGCCACCTCCCCCCAGCCCCCTCCAACAGGCCAAGTCCTGACCTGCTGCTTCCTGGAATTTCGCTACAGCACAGAAGTCGGGGAAACTCCAAGGAAATGGAGAGGTTCTTGGGCTCTACCAGACTTCTTAAAAATAAAAGGTCTAGAAAAGCTTGGTTAAGGTATAACGGATGTTCAACAACCCACATATTTCCGGTTGCATCCGATATACTTTAAAGGACATGGAACGGTGTCTTAAAACATCTTTACGTAACATTGACGAGGATCCCCTCTCTTAATACCCTCATCGCCTCCCAGCCCTTCTCCTCCCTGTGCAGTTTCTGAGTGTCAAGGAGGCTCCATGATGTCAGGGGATCACCTGCTAGACAGAGAGTCCCCTTTATTGTAAAGGGACGGGACTCAGTCGGTTGCGAGCGTGTATCGTTTTGCAGTTTTGGGTGCTCTTTGACCTTGTTCCCAGAGAGCAGACACTCCTTTTGCTGTCACCCCCTTACACCTACAGCAAGGTTTAAGGAGGAAGGGGCCTCTCCGCAGCCCTGTGGGCGCCCTTGCAGCCTCCCAGACCCGGACTGTGGGCCCGGCTCTGTCCTTCCCCAAGTAAAGCTCAGTCCCGGGAGCCTCCACGGGCCAAAGGCAGGCTCTCAGGTTTCCCCTCGTGGGGCACGCAGGAGAGGAAGGCACCCAGGACAGGGCGAGCGTGAGGGAACGGAGCGCAGGGCAGGCCGGGCGAGGCACACTGGTTGGGAGCCCCGAGTTCCCAGGGCGGCCGCCTCTTTGTCGGATGGCGCCCGGACGGTGCTTATCAAATAAACAGCAGACGGCTCCGGGGCGAGGGGGCCAGGGAGCCGGGCGCCGCAGGGCAGGGGCGCCAGCCAGCGCCTGGGGAGAGGCAACCTGTCACAGCCGAGCTGGGGATCCCGGCGAAGTTGGAACGGGGAGCCTCGGGCCCCCGCCCCGAAAGTGGAGCATGAAAAGGTGACGTTACCGAGGGAGAGTCCCCGACAAAAACAGGACTGACTGTGTTTATCGGGCTCAGCGGAGCCGGCCCAAACCGGACTAGACGAAGTGTTTCTGGCCAGGGCTGGAGGGCACGAACCCCAAGGGGCGAGGTTCCTCCCCGGCCGGACGGGACGAGGCTGTAGCGACCCGCGCAGAGCGAGTTCAGCGCTGGAGTGGAGGTTCACAGGGCCGGGGCCCGCGGCCAGAGTCCCCCCGCTGGGAGTCTCCCCAAAGAGGCCGGCGCGGAAGGCAGCCCGAGGGCCCTGGGCCGGGCGCCCTGCCCATCCCCTGGGCCCTCCTGATTCGGTCCCGCGAGGCAGCCCCTACCTGGCTCCGGGCTGGGGCCCTGGGTGTGGCTTCCCCACCGAGGAGAACAGGGCGAAGAGGATCCCCGAGCAGGAGGCCAAGAGCAGGAGCAGCAGCCAGAAGAGCGGGTCGCGCGGGAGCCCCATGCAGCCCGGCCGGTGGGCGCCCTGTCTCCCGCGGTCCCGCGGCGGAGGGGACAGGCCCCGGGGAGCGGGGCGGCCTCCTGGAAGCGGCGGCTCTGCCCAGTTCGGCCCGCCCAGCCCTGCCCCAGCCCTGCCCTGCCCTCTCCTCCCCTCCCCTCCCCACACACCGCCCCCTCTGGCGTTTCCCCGCCCGGCTGGAGCCAGGCAGCGGAATCCGCAGCACCACCGGGTGCACTGGGCACGGGCGTGTCGCCTGCAGCCCCCGAGGCTGCCTGCGCCCCTCGGGCGCTGCCATCTGTCCTGGGCGCTTGCACAGCCGGGCACCCTCCATGGAGCTCCCGCGAGCGTGCAGCCCCGGACCGCCTGGAGCCTGGGGCTCAGCCGGGCTCTTTCCCATAAAGTCCAGGAAAGGCGCGTGCCGTCCGGGGGCCCGTGAGGGCTGCGGGGCGCCGCCGCCGCCGCCTCCCTCGAAGGCCAAGCATCGTGTCCTCCGAGGCCCCACCCAAGGCTCCCAGACGCCTGAGACCGGTGGGGCAGCCCAAGACTTGTCGGTGCGGCACCTCGGGGCCCTTCCAGAACTTGGGTGTCGTGAGAGACTGGTTCACCAGGACAGCTGAGGAGGCGGGAGGATGGAGGCGCCCCCCCTCCAGGCTCAACCGGGTTGACGGGGCCGGGGATGGGAGGGGTGGGAGCTCGGAGACTGTGCGCCCACTCATTTGGTCACTGTCCAAGGCGGCCGGGGCCCTCAACACACCGCTTTCTCTTTGCAAAACAAGGGCACCTGGAGATCTGCCCAGCAGGGAGAGGAGACCACCTGAGGGGTCGGTCTAGCAGGGGCCCTGGTGCGGCCAGGAAGGGCAGGGGAGCCCCGCGCCTGTGCTTCTGAAGCGGAGCCCTCCCAGGTGGGGGCGTGCAGGTGGGACGGTATATTCTCCGCTGGGCAGTACTCCTGGACTCAGACCTCAAAAGCCTGTGAAGTGTGCCCCGTAACTGCCAGGAACTGCGGGGGCCAGCGGGACCAGTCCCCTCCCACCAGCTTTCCGCTCTCCCCAGCTGAGGGAGCCGGCCTGCCGTCTGTCCAATCGGGAGACTTCCCCAGAAGCTCCCTGGGACCTATGGCCACCAATGGGTTGTTCAGTCTCAGCTCTCATCATTTTTTTTTAACAAAGTAGATTTTTTAAAAAAGATTTTATTTATTTACTTTTAGAGAGGGAAGGGAGGGAGAAAGAGAGAGAGAGAGAAAGAAACATCAATGTGCGGTTGCCGGGGGCTGTGGCCTGCAACCCAGGCCTGTGCCCTGACTGGGAATCGAACCTGCGATGCTTTGGTTCGCAGCCCGCGCTCAATCCACTGAGCTGCGCCAGCCAGGGCAGCTCTCATCATTTTAAGAAATGTCTCACCTTGCTACCCTGCTGGTGAACACTGCTTAGAATTGGTGGTTTCAATCCTCCTAGTTGTGAGTTGTCATAATCCGCCTACATGTTACTCCTCCCTGATCAGTGCTTTGTCCCGTGTCCTTAGTGGTTAATGAGACACCAGACCCTGTCTCCGAACCCCCACACCCCATGCCTACCCCTTCATCTCAGCAGACACCCCACCTACGAACTCGGCCCCCACCACGGCCCAGCCTCTACCTGCCTGGCCGGATTCGAGCCTCAGGTGCGCTCCGGCCCACCTCAGACCCAAGCCTCCTGTCCATCCGCCCACCTGCAGTTCCCATCCCTGCTGGGCAGCCTCACAGGCCCTCGGGCCTCTCTGGCCCTCCACCGTCTCCCAGCCCGTCCGCCAGTCCTGTCCCTAAGCTTCCTTCCTACCCAGGCAGGGCCCCGTGGGTCAGGATCTGAGCTTCTCTCTCTTGACCCAGATTCTCTCGTGTCCCTGGCTTTCTGCCCAGTGAACGGCCCCCCTGGATTCCCGCTGGTATCTGCCCGTGCGGTGTCCCCTCCCCTCTGTGGCCCGGCTGGGCGCAGCTGGCAAGATCCCGGTCCAGGGAATGGTACCGCTCCCGCAGCAGCAATCCACACCAGCCTCCTCTGGGGCCGCCTGAGCAGCCGTCTCATGGGTGCTGACAGCAGACACAAGACTCCTGGGTCAGAGACAAAGGGTTTGGTTGGCACCGCAGGCAGCCTAGGCTTCCCGGTGGGGTCACTCCTCCGTGCCGCGCCCCCAGCCCCATGCGGGCGAGGCCCAGGGGCCCACCGAGGGGCCCTGAGCAGAGGGAACCCTGCCCTCGTCCAGCTGTCCTGGGCAGTGAGGAAATCTGCCCCCTGCTCCAGAGGAGGGCACTGCCTTCGTTTTCCAAGGCCGTTGGCTATACCGACCTCTCAAAAACGTAGTCTGGAACAAAGGGGCGCTCAGCGCCTCTGCTCTGGGGCGTGCAGAACTGTGACCGAGCCGCTGAGAGGGGTCTCCCACACGTTCACGCAGCCTCACCCACGGGCTCCCCTGCAGGGAGGGCCAGCCTCCCTGTCTGCCGCGCCTGGACAGCCGTCCTGCGCCCTCGCACGAGACCCTCCCCCCAGCCGGTGCACGCGCCCCCGATACCGCATCCCAAGAAGCAGAACAAAGTCCAGCAACAGCCTCTGTGGAGCCGGCCCTCCTCTCAGCGACTCCCTGTCCTTTTCATCCGAGTTCTTGGCAGGGGCGGTCCATGCTGTGTCCATTTTCCTCTGTGTCTGCTTCTCTACCTGCCTCATCACTGAGGCTGTCCCCGCCGAGGCCACCAGGGGCCTTCGTCACTCCTGGCGGAGCAGACGCGGGAAAGTGCACAAGTCATGCTTTCCTGCCTCTCGGCTTGTGCCACGCACTTTTGTTAGAAACGGGACGTTTCAGATAACATATTATAGCGACTCTGAGCACTGGTCACGCCCCGCCCCCGCCCCCCCACCCCCCAGGCTTGCTGCTTGCCTGTCTGAGTAGTGGCTGGTGGGCTCGTTTTTTGTTGCTTTTTTTTTTTTTGTGAAGTCCCCACCCCCAGTCCTTTGAAGTGTCAGACCTCCCACGTGGCTCTGCAGGGACCTGCAGTTCCAGGTGTGCCCGCTGTCACCTGGGCTGGTGGTGGTTTGGGCTGGGCTCTCTTTATCTCTTTCCTCGACCACACCCAGCTGCTCAGTGCCCGCTGACTGCCTTGTTTACCAAAACGCCCCAGGGCGTAAATTGTCCCAGAGACCCAGGCTCCTTAGCAGCTGGAGCGCGCCCCCGGGGCTACAGGACCTCAGTCGGTCCCTCCCAGCTGTCCCTTTCCCGGGCTCTCTCCTGCAAACTCCTCCCCCGTCGTCGCCACTGTGTTGGACAACAACTTTCGGCTTGAATTTCTCCACTGTCTGTTGCAAACAAAGTCCGTTGCTTTGGGGAGAGATTAGGACCGGTCTGTCCGACAGTCTGCTTCGGTCCCGCGGCAAAATCTCTGAGTCTGGGCTCTGGAGCCGAGGTGGGGACGTGGTGTGCGTCTCTCAGGGTGACACCCCTGTTCCGGAGCCCAGCACGTGGTGGGCAGAGGAGGCAGGTTCGTGTCTTCTCGGCTCACCTCTCCTAGCGTGGATGGAGCCGCCACCCGTATGAGCCAGGGCAGGGGCGACCAAGACCCCAGGGCCCAAGGTGACACTGAGCAGAAGGACGCAGTCTCCACGGTGCGGCCACACTTGCCCAGCACTTGCCTCAGCGGCAGGGACCTGGGGAAGGAGGGGCCGGGAAGGAAGCCCACCCGTGGGTGGCCGCACCCATCTCGGTCTTGGTCTCGGCGGGGATTTTTCTCGCTGACCTGGGAGTGGGGAAAGAGGCAGCAGTTTTGGCTCAGATACCACAGTCTCTTTAGCACATTTTAGTCGGTTTTCTTGATCGGATGTTTCTTCCTGCGCTGCGCACCCTAAGGACCAGGGCCCGATTCTTTCCTCAGCTGTCTTTCGCCCCTCTCTTCCACACCCACCGCAGAGGGGGGCCTGCCCGGGGCCACGGGCCCTCACTCTGGAAGGCCGCCTCCCACGGGGGTTTCCCTTCAGTGGGCTCCACTATAGGGGTGCTCGATGCCGTTGTCTGGGTCAGGGAAGTCTGAGCACAGACTGGGTATTTGGTGAGGCTAAGGAAGCATTAACTTTTCTTTTCTTCCCTCCCCTCCCTGCCATTGGAGCTCAGGAGAGAGGAAGCAAAGGTACATGGGGGGGGCAGGGAGGAAGGGGGGAAGAAGGTGTGGGGAGAGAGAGAGACGGAGCGGAAGCATGAACTATTTTAGGTGTGGCAATAGTATTGTGGTTATTTTAAAGTGGTCTTACCTGTTAGTCTTATGTACTGAAGTGTTTACAGATAAAACAATATGGTTCTTGCAATTCGCTTAGAGGAACCAGGTCTGGGCTGTAAGTGAGGAGCGGTGGGGGCTACAGATGAGATGAGAGGCGATGAGTTTGGTCATTATTATGTCACATTAATCATTTTATAGATTGTTATTATAGGGGCTGCAAACTGCCGTTCATTACACTATTCTTTTTACTTTGTCTGAATATGTTTGTACACATTTGTTTCGTGTACGCTGGAAGTGTTTCATCACACAAAGCTACATTTATTTCTCTGTGCACTTGTGAAATATACCTCATCAGAGTCTTTAGAAATAAGGTCATCATTGAGTTGAATTAAAATCTTGAAAAGTATATATACATACTTTTCACTTAGGAAGTAGGTTATGGCTTTACAAAATGGAGAAAGGAAAACTTCAAGCATTCCATGTTCCCAAACAATCTCGGGTAAGCATCTTTGTAAAATATATATTCTTTTAAAATATTTTATTTATTTATTTTTAGAGAAGGAAGGGAAGGAGAAAGAGAGAGAGAGAAACATCAATGTGCAGTTGCTGGGGGTAATGGCCTGCAACCCAGGCATGTGCCCTGGCTGGGAATCGAACCTGCAATGCTTTGGTTCGCAGCCTGAGCTCAATCCACTGAGCTACGCCAGCTACAGCAAAATATAAATTCTTACTAACATCAGTTTATTTTGGGTTATCTGAAATAGCATTAATTTCAAGCAGGTTCCTAATCAAAATTTATTAGATGTTGCAATGATATCTCACAGGCTGGTTTTGTTATTTCAATCAAAACTATTCTTGGATGATTAACTATTCTATGAAAAAA